GCAGAAGCCTACCTTGGATGTAATGTAGGTTCCAAACAGTGTACCTGACTCTTTTGAGGAGTTTATATCTATTTCAGCAAGACCTGGATTGGTTGCAATTTAATTGCAAGAAAATCTGATTCAGGGTTAGAGCTTTACTACTGCCACTTGATCAACTGGGAAGTTTTAGCAAATATTTGAAAACAATACTCTGAAACACTGAAATGCTTGAACCATTAGTGCTCAATAGTAGAGCGGCAATGTGCACAAGTTGAGTTTTTTTTTAATGTGTTCATTACGCCTTGCTTTCAAATAGCATTTGAATAGGATTGCCTGCAGTCCAGGACTGCAATTTGAAGAAACTCTTGGCTATAAATGGTTATCTGAAAGCTACATTCTCAGAGAAATTTATGGTTCCACTGATCACTACCGGAATGTCGGGTATAGAAGTAAACCAACCTTCTCCAATTTAGTCCTCACCAGATGCAATAGGACTAGAATTCCAAGCCAAGTATGACCAAAGAGAACTGCAGTCCAACACACCTGGAGGGGACCCAGTTGGAGAAGGATCAAATAAACAGAATCCAGAGGGATAGAGAAGTCTTCTGTAACTGAAATAACAAAGAATCTAAGCTTTCCTAATTTCTGGCAATCTGCAGCCTGGGGCAAGCTTCAGTCTGAGTGATCACACATCCTATTTTAAGCCTCCATGAGCTATCCAGACTCCAAGTTTGATAAGAGTAACATTTTAACTGCCCTTGTGCTCTTTTCTCCCACTTTTAAGAGGGCTTTGATTAGATCTGTCAACACTCATTTCCTGCTTCCCAACCATGAAAACTGAAGTATCAATTAAATGGGATAGTCAAAGTGATGAATATGTATAATTCAAAGGCTCTACTTCTTGTCATCTATAGGTCACCTTTGATGAGTCTTAGTCCCTTAAGCGCTTTCTTTTTTCTCTCCTTACCCCTCCTTCCTTTTTTAAAAACTGGCAAGCAGGAGAATAGTAAGACTGTATTAACTCCTTTGGCATTTACTGAGCTTTTAACAGGCAGCTGTATCTTTCAATCTCTGCAAATATTTGATGTAAAAAATAGACATTAAAACACAACGCTTAAGATTCATTGCTTGCAACTCCCCCCCCCCTTTTTTTTAAATTAAAAAACAGAGTTTATCATCATATTTTGTTTCACAGCATCTCAACCTGTGGGGCCATCCAGAAGCAAAGTACATACAAAATGTGAAGCATGAGCTAATGGGATAGCTCTGAGAGCCTTTTGTTGCTCTACTACTCTGTTCATGCCTTCTCCCCACCCCATCTGTTACTGCATCCTATGAGTTCTCATTGCTTAGCAACCAGATCCTGGTTATTTTCTTTTCCTCTTTGTGGGCAGAGTAAAATGCCTGGACTGGGATGCAATGTCCAGTTGTATCCAAATAGCCCTTTTCATAAGAGCTTCGCTATCAAAAATCTTCCAGCTTCTGAAACACCCAAGGAGTCCTTGGAACATTACTGTCAATGGCTGAGAGTCTTGGGATTATAATGGCTAAAATAATATCTAATAAAGAAATATATAAACAAACATTCCTCTGGTGGTGATCCAGTAAAATGTCCTGCTTTGCAGAGAACTGATCTTACTTTGAAAGGCTAGTCCTCTATTTGAAGGCACCCTCCTTTTGAAAGGCTGCCCAATCCAAGTTCAGTTTAAAAACTGAGACCCTATTAGAAAGGAGAGCCCAGAGGATTTAAAGGCACACCTTGATGGGCAACACCTGGACAGCAGAGCAAGCAGGTACACACTCATAGACTGGTCTCAGTCTTCCCCAGTATTGATGACATGAGTTGCATTTCTCTTTGAATTGTAGTTTGCATTGATTTGTTAAGCTGTATTGCTTTTTTCATTTTTGTAATTGTGTTATTCCTTTTTTTTAATTGATGTCAATTTGTTCTGAGTGCTCCATGAGAGAAACATCAAAATAGCTTTAAATGCTATTTAATAAAAATAATAACAATAATAAACTTCTGATTTAATTGAAGTATCAATGCCTTAAAATTATCCTTGCAAGTTCCTTTTATCTTTTTTGCCAGTGAAATAGAAAGAAAATAACATTTCTATATGGTTTCAGTTACATAAGATTATAATAAGAAATCTATTCAATTTGCTTGCTTATTCTAAATACAGTGAGCAAAGAAAGCATACAGAACTTCTACCTTTCAGAAAACATGCTATTATGTCATTAGAATGCAAAATCTTCCAATTAATTTCATATCAACAAAAAGGCAATGGAAGCTTTTCTTCAACAGCCTTGGGAAATAAATTATTATTCAAATCCTATGCAAAAATTCTATTAAACTGATGAATGGCTAGGTTTTTTTAACCTATGCAGTAGGATTTTTTTTTAATGTATAAACTAAATCAGCTTCTTATAAGTAGTACCTTCAATAAGAATTCAGAGGAAGCCAAGTTGGGACAGCTTGTATTAAAATAATACATTGCTAAAAAGAAGTGTTCTAGCCTTGCACCTGAACAATCAACACTGTTGCAGAACTTGATTTCCTGCTATTATGAATGAGGTGGAATGAATTTTTCATGTCAAAGGTTCCTGTAATTCCATACATGGTTCCTGTAATTCTGGTCATAATATGAAAGTAGTTACCTAGCAACAGAGACAAACTTATGTCTTTTAATAAAATGTGTTAGTCTGAAAAGGTGCTACCGGACTCCTCCTGATTTTTAGCTATCTCCTTTTAAATTGTGTCCTACTTTTACCTACCTTTTACCTTTTTTTTTCTTGGATCTCATCATATTCCATCTCATTTGCAACTAATCCTTTTTTTATATATCCTATTCCATGACTTTAATTTTATGATTAGAATCCTTTCCTAGTTGTCTGTTTGGAGACCAGTGGAGTTCTGAAAAAGGCTTTCATAAAATGCCTTATTCTCCAGGACTATCCTTGACACCTCCCTTTGATAAATTCAGACTTGGTGCACTCCAGATTAGTCAGACCTATAACTCCCAGCTGTAAATTCTGGAGGCTGTACTTCCAGCAGTGGGTTGAAGAAGGCTACTTTTAAATATAAGTCTGTTGCCAAATATTTTTTATTTTTTTCCAATTATATTTATTAGGTAACAAATTAAAAATGGAACCAATGATATTAAATTGATGGCAATGATACAAATGCTTTAAACATTAGTATTAGTGGAGATGTATTAATACTTTAGATCAACTTACTGCCAATCAAGTTTTTAAATGATTTCAATCACTGCAAGAATTTGGATTGCCTACAACTACAGAATGGCAGTATATATAATTAAAACTTCTCTTTTAATTATAATTCATAATTTGGTCTGGATGCCTTAGCAGCATTTATTTGCAAATTACTATTAGTATCGGAATATGTTTGACTGATTCGGAATCCATAGTATTTTTAAAAATAATTTCTATAATGTTATAATTTTTATGAATGAAGAGATCTTGCAATATAAGTTTGCAAGATCTATGGAAAAAAAGGAGTTGGAATAGCCCATATTAAAAATTAGCAGAATGTTTCTCATGATCTTAAAAAGATACTAATTCAACGGAAGATTTTTTTTTGTTAAATAATATAATGAGCACCTCAAAGAATGTTTAAAAAGAGCTGACTAACAACCACATTATCCTGGGAGTGTAAAACAGGTGAACCCTTATATGATATGAACTTCTCCAACAATTACTTTGTTTTGATTTAATATCCTTAAGCTGGTACTTATGAGGTTACAAAGATCAATATTGTTTAAAGATGTGAAAGTTCTTCTGAATTACATATGTAATAGAATGTGCTGCTATGTGAGGAATTAGGGATTTATCATGGATGGGGGGCAGCAGAAAAGATCACTCTGCAGGGTTGGAAAGAAAGGGCAACTCCAGATTTACAATGTTGGATCACTGACCCACGTTCACCTTTTTATGAGCTGTCTCTCATTTGATGTAATAGGAAGATTGATCAATCTTATTTTGAGTGGTCAAATTTTAATTATGTATAAGGCTTAATGATTTTCTATTTGTAATTCAATACCTTTCCGCTGTTTCTTTTTCTGTTTTTGAAGGGGATTCTTTTTTCTTTCACTTTCACTTTTTTTTTTGTAAATTACAACAATTAACATTTTTAAAGTATTAGTGGAGTGAGTCATTGTTACCAGTTTCACATCTGTTTGTCCGTCATTTAGGGGCTTATATCTCAGACATTTGCAAAAGTTGGTCTTGGCAACTACTGAAAGAGAAGCACCATTCTATCAT